AATACCTAGACGTGCATGAAGGCTGAATTTGAAAATTTACGAGGGCATATGTGTTCAGTTTTTTTTTTCCTGCTAAAAAATCCTTTAGTTTATATACATAGCCGTTAAAAGTGTGCATATTTAGTTTTTTCCTCCGAAAACTGCGAATGGCGTTGCAAATCTCTTCTCCAAACTTGATCGCTTCCGTGAAGGTAATCCGATGTTTGTGGATGTCACCTGGCATTTTGGATCAGATCCTGGTGTGTTCCCTGATTTCATTGTTCACACGTGCACTTTTGATTTCTTCTTACCTCTGTTGTTATTGCTCTTTCCGCATGCCTGTTTCCTTCGCTTTGCTTTTTTTTTTTTTTTCGTTTGTACTGGAGAAATTAATTTCAACAATGCATTTTGCGGGATCCATAACTCTTCCGGATTTTCCACTTTCAGGTAACATCAACAAGGAGACGTCGTCATCGTCCATAGCGGCCGGCTGTCTCGATTATTGTGGCGTGGATACCATGCTGCACATAACCTGTGCGCAGTATACAAAGGAACAGTCGATCAGACACTTAGAACAGAGCAAAGCACTTGGTTTGAAGAATATCTTGGCTCTTCGCGGTGATCTGCCCCAACAGGTGGCGATTTTTATGCGTTTTTGCCGTGCAGCGCTAGAGCGCTGCATCAGGCAGCAAAAACGCATATTGCAACGACCCTGTCTGTGTGTGTATGTATGCTTGTGTGTGTGTGTGTGTTCGTCCGTCCGGGTATTTCAACTCGTTAACCACGCAAGCTTTGAAGCTGAAATTTTGCCAGTGTGTTCCCCAGTCAGGTACCACCCCAGGAACGCAGTTTCAACCCTCACGCACGTCTGGGCCCCGCGTACGGACATGTGAAAGTTTTGGCGCGAAAATCGCTAACTCGGGAACGAGGAAAACTAGAAAGCTGAAACCTTGGGGAAATGTTCCTCACCCGTATACGACAAAAAAATTTCAAATTCAGCCGCCCAGGACTGCTCGGGGCTCACCTACGAGCACGTGGAAATTATGGCGCGAAAATTCATAACTCGCGAGTGAGGAAAGCTAGAAAGTTGAAACTTTGGGGCAATGT